ACATTTAAAGACTTTGAAACAACTATTTCATTTTACACTCACTTTGCATCTGCATCTGCAAAGTACAGTCAAACACCCCCAAATCAGGGAAAGCCTGACTAATAAAGAAGCTGATGCCCACACAAGGACTGAATAATAGTGTAAGGTGAGAGAATATCTGACTTCTAACTAACTTTATTAAAAGTGGTAGGCTCATTCATTCTTTTCATACTTACCTCCACTGCCAGAATTTTAGAAATCTAAATAACAAATACTCTCAAAGGGTGGTCTTCATTCCCCTTAAAGCTGTATTCAATAAAAATGGATAAGAAACACATGTATTTGCCAAAATTAGCAAACATTTCAGGTATGTGTGTTTTACAAAAGAAAATTTTTATTTTACTTTTTATTTTTTTGAGTTGGGGGTCTCACTCTGTCGCCCAGGCCGGAGTGCAGTGGCATGCTCACTGATACAGCAGCCTCGACCAGCTGAGCTTGAGCGATCCTTCCACCTCAGTCTTCCAAGTACCTGGAACTACAGGTACGTGCCACCATGCCTGGCTAATCTTTTGATTTAGTAGAGATGAAGGCTCACCAAGTTGCCCAGGCTGATCTCGAACCCGTGGGCTCAGGCAATCTTCTTACTCCAGCCTACCAAAGTGCTGGGATTATAGGCGTGAGCCACTGCACCCAGCCTACAAAAGCAAATTTTTTTTTTTTTTTTGAGTTGGAGTCTCACTCTGTCACCCAGACTGGAGTGCAGTGGCCGCTTCCGGCCACCGCAGCCTTCCGGCCACCGCAGCCTCGACCTGCTGGGCTCCGGCGATCCTTCCGCCTCAGCCTTCCCAGTAGCCGGAATTACAGGCATGCGCTACCACGCCCAGCTGATTTTTTGATTTATTGTAGAGATAAGGTCTCGCTGCCCAGGCGGGTCTCAAACCCGCGGGCTCAGGCAATCCACTCACCTCAGCCTCCCAAAGGCGCAGGATTACAGGCTGAGCCACCGAGCCCAGCTACAAAAGCAAATTTTTAACATATGGACCCCTAGTCTCTAACTGAATTCTATTCCAAAATGAGAGATGTTTCATGGTTTGGAAGTAGGGCAAGAAAAAGTCAAGGCCATTAACTAAATGTCCAACAAGACACACTGATCTCATCCCACTCTATTCCAATCAAGAATTAAAGATGCGGTTCAAGTAATTTGAGGTCCTTTGTTCTCGGACTTAGAAATTAAAGGTATATGGAATTCCACAAATCTGCTGCACACTAGACAGAAGAAACTTATACACCTGATTGCTTACTTTCCTGAAACAAATTTAATTTTGCAAGAAAAAAATAGCAAAAATTCCTATTATGCATCTTATCACATAAAATGCTAAGGTTGCTTCTATATCTGCTGTTTAAATGTGACACACTGAAGATATCAGAACAAGATTACTTACATGCATATACAGCCTAGACTTTTTATTGTATTACTAAATAAAGGTAAGAAATAAATTTGGCCTACCAAATAAGAATCAAGTAGCTGATAACGTTTATTTTACTAAGCAAAAACTAATGCTAAAGACTGACAAACTTAAAGAAACGCAATTGGTCATGGTGCTCTGAAATAAATGTCACAGTCATAGCTAAACAGACACAGAGACTGCTATGCACTATGTTCGGTAATGTATTAACTCACTTGAGCCTTACACTGCATTTAGGCACCATTACCATTATCCTTCTTTTTTTTTTTTTTTTTTTTTTGAGTTGGAGTCTCACTCTGTCACCCAGACTGGAGTGCAGTGGCACGCTCCCAGCCACCGCAGCCTCGACCTGATGGGCTCCGGCAATCCTTCTGCCTCAGCCTTCCAAGTAGCTGGAACTACAGGCACGCGCTACCACGTCCAGCTAATTTTTGATTTATTGTAGAGATGAGGTCTCACCAAGTTGCCCAGGTGGGTCTTGAACCCATGGCCTCAGGCAATCCACTCACCTCAGCCTCCCAAAGCGCGGGATTACAGGCTGAGCCACCGAGCCCGGCTCTCTGTTCTTTTTAAGGCAGGATTTACTGAGAGGACAGAAAAGCTCCCACAGTGGGAGGGGATCCAAAAGGTTAGCCTTCACCTCTTTTCCAGAAACTAGGTATTTGAAACTTGCTGGTCAAATCACAAAAACTAACTGCAAAACTATCAATTTCTGATTTTCCCAAATTATTAAAAAGTAATAAAGATTTTTTTTCTCTTTTTTGAGTAGGAGTCTCACTCTGTCGCCCAGGCTAGAGTGCAGTGCCACACTCATAGCCACCACAGCCCCAACCTGCTGGTCCCAGGTGATCCTTCTGCTTCAGCCTTCCAAGTAGCTGGAACTACAGGAGCGCACCACCACACCCAGCTAATTTTTGGATTTGTTGTAGAAACGAGGTCTCCCCAAGTTGCCCAGGCTGGTGTGGAACCCCTGGGCTCAGGCAATCCTCTCACCTCCGCCTCACAAAGTACTGAAATTACAGGTGTGTTAGCCATCATGCCTGGCTTAAAAACTGGTAAAATTCTTTTTTTTTTTTTTGAGTTGGAGTCTCACTCTGTCACCCAGACTGGAGTGCAGTGTCCGCTCCTGGCCACCGCAGCCTCGACCTGCTGGGCTCCAGCGATCCTTCCGCCTCAGCCTTCAAGTAGCTGGAACTACAGGTGCACACAGCCACGCCCAGGTAATTTTTTATTTTTATTGTAGAGATGAGGTCTCGCCAAGTTGCCCAGGCGGGTCTCAAACCTGCAGGCTCAGGCAATCCACTCACCTCAGCCTCCCAAAGCGCAGGATAACAGGCTGAGCCACCAAGCCCGGCTTAAAATTCTTAATGACACATTTCTTTTGTCTATCCCAGGATGCTTTGAAGTATTAGATACCAGGAACTTAACACGTATTAATTGACTTAACTTTGCTTTTTTCTTTCAAGCCAGTACCCAGTCTCTGGTTCTGGATACACCTTCCTCGCCTAGGGTTCCCAGAGTCATAAAAAGATGAAGAATAATTACCAAGCAGAGCAGTTAGCATCTTCCAAAAACACCATGAGTGACTTCCAGAGAGCACATATGTGAATTCCTTCCCTCCCCAAATCACACTGAAAGATAAAGATGCATAAAAACCACAGCAGAAGAAATAGGATGCCACCAGTGAATGAAAGCATTTAACAAATTTAAGGAAGATGGAAAGTAGATGGAATACTGGCCTAACCAGAGTGGGGGGGGGGAGAGAAAAAAATGGAATCTATGAAAAATTTGTGTATTTATTCTACATGTTTAAACTTCAGTCGCCTTCAAAGTACCACCCGTTTAATGCAATACATTTATCGAGATGCCTTTATCATTGCTCCAAACAGTTTTTGAACTCATCAATTTGGATGCCTTCTGGAGCTTCTGCCGTTTTTTTGTTTCACCTCTTTCACATGAGGAGGAATAGGGGGATGGGGCACGGGGTCATGCCATTTATTGGTCAAGTGTGTTGTCATGGGAGAAGTACCAGTTACCTGTTTGCCACAGCCTGGGACTTTTCAGCATTGCAGCCTCTCTCAATGACACTAGCTGGTACACTGATGCCAATGGGTTCCTAGAACACTCAGCTAGTGGGCAAGCCTGTACTACAAGGCACCAGCTGTCCAAAAAGTAATTCCGGGTTTTTTTGGGTCCCCCTCATAGAACAAACTAAATTTAAGAATATGGGCCGGGCACAGTGACTTAACAACTTGATGATTCACACTGAGGAGTTAAAGTTACTCAGGAGAGAAGCTGCTCCACCACTACTGCAAAGCCTGGGGCAAAAGGGATACGCCCAGCCTGTCCACCTGGTACTCACTCAGGCCTGCAACCCAAACCTCCCAGCCTAGGACACTTGGCGCAAAGGGACAGCAGCCAATTAGCCCTCCCATGTAGAAAAACAAGGCCTGCCGGACTTGGTGGCTCAGCCTGTAATCCCGCGCCTTTGGGAGGCTGAGGTGAGTGGATTGCCTGAGCCCGCAGGTTCGAGACCCGCCTGGGCAGCGAGACCTCATCTCTACAGTAAATCAAAAAATCAGCCTGGCGTGGTAGCGCATGCCTGTAATTCCGGCTACTTGGAAAGGCTGAGGTGGAATGATCGCTGGAGCCCAGCAGGTCGAGGCTGCGGTGGCCAGGAGCGGCCACTGCACTCCAGTCTGGGCGACAGAGTGAGACTCCAACTCAAAAAAAAAAAAGAGAAAAAGAAAAACAAGGCCTATTACTTACAGGAATCAAAATATAAATAACCAGTGTCCATCAGATGTGCGAGAGTAAAGTAAAAGAAGGAAAAAGAACCAAAAGGGAACAGAACAATTGACCAAACAGTAGACATATTAATTCAGGAAACAGATAATTTTTATTCTAATTATCTTTGTAGATTCAAAAACAAATACTTTGTAGATATTTTGTAGATATTGATATTTTTCAATATCTACAAAATAAAAATAAGAAAAGACTGCTGCATCTAGGACACTGTGCTTACTGACTCAGGATAAAAACTGAAGGAGGAAAGAACAAGAGACAGTGTGATGAGACACCATAAATGTATCCGGAGTCGACAAGTCAAAAAAACAAACAAAAAAACCCGAGTTAGATAAATATAACATCTACTCTGGAAGGTAGAGCTGGAAAGGGATAAGAATGGCGATTTTACGTTTCATTTTACATCATTTATACTGTTCAGATTTTAACTCTGTGCGTGTGTTAAATTTTAATTTAATGTAATAGTGTTTCAAGTGTTAACCAGAAAAAAAATGGCACAAGGCACACCACCCCAAACAAGTGCCATTTACACTCTCGGGTGACAATTACGGTGACCTACGGAGGAGGGCAAATGTCAAAATCAGAGGTCAGGAGGGGCCCCTACCACCAGTTTTCCTGGAGAAGCAAATAAGCCACTTTGGGGCCTTCTTGAAGCCTTGCCGTGCGGCCACCCAAATCCGGGACGCAAGCACGGCCCGCGGGTCCCACGCCAGGTCCCGGGGAAAGAGCCAGCCCAGGAGGAGGGAATACCTGCACGCCGGGATGCGGCGGCGGCCCGCGGGCCTGACGGTCACCGAGGCCAAGGCCACAGACAGAGACACCGCGGCGAGAGCCCGTCCCAGGAAGCGTCCGGCCATCAGCGCCCCGCGGGCGGCTTTGCGGAGCTGGGTCGCTCCCCGCCGGGGCGTCTGCCTCCGCCCGCCCCACGGCTCGGCCCCGGGTACCTGGCGGGCACTAGGGCCGCGCGGCCTTCCTGCTCCGGAAAGGGAGTAGCCACGGCTGCCTATAAACAGACACAGACCAGGAACCCTCCCAAAACGACAGTCCACCACGGCCCGGGCACGACCAGGAGACCAAAGCCGGCCTGTGACGCCGACAACGTTCCCGGCTGCCGGGAAACCGCGACTCCGGCCCCGCGACGTCCTCGATGCGTGACGACGCTGTACGGGCGTGCCGCAAAGCAAAGGCTGTGCTGGCGTCGTAACGCCCGCCTGCGACCTCCTGGTCTGCGCCGGCGTACTAGAGGGGAGGAGGAGAAAGTCCAGAAAGGCCAAACGGAAACGTGCAAGAGACAGGGAACAGGCGGGTAGGGAAGGAGGAAAGGAAGGGAGGAGGTGCGGAGAAGTGTGTTGCCTTGGTTTTTCTGGTCGGGAAAGGATTACATAACTGCGCACCTCTTAGTCGCTTTTCGAATGATCAGTGGTTACAGGGAGAAGAGGTAGCCAAAAGACTTCATCCACATATCTTTTTTAAAGATTTTTTTTTTTTAGTATACATACGTACATATATAGAGATATAGTTGTTTTTTTTTAAGACTGATCTCGAACTCCAGGGTTCAAGCGATCCTCCCGCCTCGGCCTCCCAAAGTGCTGAGGATTACAGGTGCTAGCCACCACCTTGCCCGGCCTGGATCCACGTATCTTGAGGCTTTGGGGTGTCTGTTTTACCAAGTTGTTTGCTGCCAGTGCTAGATTTCACAGAGCTTTTCCAAGGGTGTGGCCCTTGGCAACCCTTGGAGGAGTAAAGCCGGAATATAGCCCCGAGCAGAAATAGAGGGCCACGCCCTCCACACTCTGGATAATAAACTCCAAAGGCAAGTATTAGCCAAACTGCCCAAATTGTCCAAAGCAGTTTGCAATCAGGCTTTTATATTCATTCGCTTATTAATGTGTCAAATATTTGACCTTTACATACATAATCAACTGTCTCCCTGGTGCAGCCGTTCACATACAGATATTGTAAAACTTGGATCATCTTAAAAGCCAGATGAAGCAAATGTTAATAACCTTCGTTCTGCATACTGCAGAACTCTTTTTTTTTTTTTTTGAGTTGAGTCTCACTGTTGCCCAGGCTGGAGTGCAGTGGCACGCTCACAGCCACCACATCCTCGACCTGCTGGGCTCAGTTGATCCTTCCTCCTCAGCCTCCCAAGTAGCTGAAACTATAGGTGTGTGCCACCACACCGGTCTCACCAAGTTGCCCAGGCTGATCTTGAACCCCTGAACTCAGGCAATCCTCTCACCTCAGCCTCCCAAAGTGCTGGGATTGTGGCAGGATGCGGCAAATGCTCAAATATATTTCTTGTATGATTGAGTGAATAAACACAGAAACTTGTAGGGGGTTCAGGATCAGCAGTTGACCTCATGGCAATACTAGCCCAGGGCAGGAAAGGAGTTGATAGCAGTTAAAGGTATTTCCTTTTGAAAGGCAAGTTGCAACTTTAGAGACCCGCCAGGGCGCCAGGCAGGTTTTGTTTAAGAAAGGCCAAATGGCCCAGAGACTGGCTATTTCATGGAAATGGAAAAGAGTCTTATCTAAAACCCCCCTTCTGAAGTTGACGGTTTACAAGCCTGCAGTTCCTGGAAACCATTTGTTCTTTAAAAAAATCTGTTTTTGCTGAGTACAACCTTGTAAGATTCCAAAAGAAATATGTAATCACTCAACGCGACCACCCTCCCTTACCTAAACGAGGGTATAAGACCCCACGTCTCCTGTTCTGGGGTGCTCGAGCTTGATTTGGATGCATGAGATTCTCGGCCCGCTGTGCTACCCAGCGTAATAAAGTGCCACTTCTATAATAGTCTCGGTGTCATGATCTCTCTATTTTTCCTGCTACAGGATTACAGGCATGAGCCACCGCACCCAGCCAACTGCAGAACTCTTGACACATAATGGCTGTCCAGACCTCTGCACTGTCGACCTAAAAGGAAAAGGATGAGGCTCAACATGTAAGCAGATTACTTAAGCCAAGTAAAGACAGGTTCCCTGAAGTCTCAGACCCAAAGGACTTTGGAAGTGAACATCCTTTGGCCTTTGTTATAAGCAGAATATTTTTTTTTTTTTTTTTGAGTTGGAGTGTCAGTCGCCCAGACTGGAGTGCAGTGACCGCTTCCAGCCACCGCAGCCTCGACTTGCTGGGCTCCGGTGATCCTTCCGCCTCAGCCTTCCGAGTAGCCGGAATTACAGGTTACTGTAGAGATGAGGTTTTTGATTTTTTGATTTATTGTAGAGATTTTTTGATTTATTGTAGAGATGAGGTCTCGCTGCCCAGGCGGGTCTCGAACCCGCGGCTCAGGCAATCCACTCACCTCAGCCTCCCAAAGGCGCAGGATTACAGGCTGAGCCACCGAGCCGGGCTATAAACAGATTTTTAAAGGCAAAAAGGGGGATGGGCTGACAATGTTGTTTGTCAAGAATTCTCATTGGCTTTGTTGACACTGATAGGTGATTGACTGTGCTTTGTTAAGTAGGTTTATAGTGTCCAGTGCAGCATCTCGGGTTAATTTATAGCTGTTATGACAGTAGCAAGCAGCTGGAAGGGATGAGTACATAACTCAAAGGCGAGAGTAGGATGCTATTCCTGTCTTTTTTGGGTTTTGTTTTGTTTTTGAGTTGATGTCTCGCTGTCACCAAGCTGGAGTGCAGTGACACGTTCACAGCCACCATAGATCTGCTAGTCTCAGAGATCCTTCCGCCTTAGCCTTCCAAGTAGCTGGAACTACAGGCGTGTGCCACCATGCTGGCTAATTTTTTTTATTTATTCATTTATTGCAGGGACGAGGTCTCTCCAAGTTGCCCAGGCTGGTCTCAAACCCCTGGGCTCAGGCAATCCTCTCACCTCCATCTCCCAAAGTGCTGGGATTACAGGCATGAGCCACCATGCCTGGCTACTGTCTCATTTTAAATATCTGTCTGGGCCTGTTAATTTTAAAGTGACATAGGAGGGGAGACCCCAAAGTTGGGGTCCAGCCTGAGAGGTCAAGTGAGGTCTTAGCTTTGCACAGGAAAGAATTAGATTGAACTACCAAAGTGAAAGCAAGTTTATTAAAAGAAGAGAAAGAAGGCTCCTCTGTAGGCAGAACAACCCTGGAGCATTGCTGGGGTCTCAGTTGGAAAATGAAAGCAAGCCGATTGAAATGCCAGAGGGCAGCTACTCCCTAGGCAGTGGAAATGCTGGTTTGGGATTTGTTGGTTATTGGTGAACAAAGGATTGAACACAGCACCAGACTCAGGATAGCAAGGCAGAGTTGTACGCAAGAAAAGCAGAACAGAGTTTTAAGGCAAGCTAATATCTCCTAAGAACCAAGAGGTGAAGGCAATTCAGAGAGTAAGACGCACCCCCTACATCCCGTTTACTCTTTAGTTTGGTTTTATAGTTTATTTTCTTTGTCTTAGTCTCCGGTCTCAGTTGGTTAGTTCCCTCTGGGACGTGTTTTTCCTGATTATGGTTAAGTCATAAATCCTTCATGTGACCTTTAACATGAGCTAACGTTTAGATATTATTAATGCTACCTTGTTAAGGTTATAAGTGCCTTTAAACAATTTTTAAGCTACCCATCTTCTATCTTTTCATGATTTGTTACTCATACATGCAGTGAACTCTAGTCTACAAGAGTAAACTAACAATTAATGTAAAATGTAAGTCTGAAACTAAAAATGTTAAAGGAAGCCCGGCACGGTAGCTCACGCCTGTAATCCCAGCACCTTGGGAGGCGAAGGCAAGAGGATTGCCTGAGCTCACAGGTTTGAGGCCAGCCTGAGCAACATGGCAAAACCTTGTCTACCATAAATCAAAATATCAGCTGGGCATGGTGGCACGCGCCTGTAAGCATGCCACTGCACTTTAGCCTGGGCAACAGAGTGAGACTACGACTCAAAGAAATAAATAATAAATAAATAAATAAATCATGAACTGGGTGCAGTGGCTCAAGCCTGTAATCCCAGCACTTTGGGAGGCCAAGGCGAGAGGATTGCCTGAGCCTAGGGGTTCGAGACCAGCCTGGGCAACTACAATAAAAAAAAAATGAACCGGACATCGTAGCATGCGCTTGTCGTTCCAGCTGCTTGAAAGGTTGAGGCAGAAGGATTGCCTGAGCCCAGTAGATCGATACTGGGGTGGCCATGAGGGTACCACTGCCCTCCAGCCTGGGCAACGGAGTGAGACGCAAACTCAAAAAAAAAATGACTGAATAAATATCATAAAGGAAAGAAGTTTACATTTTTTGGATTTTAGGGAGTTTCAAAAGAATCCGACAAGATTGCCCCTTACCTTTGTTCGTACATGTTTCTTTAAAGATATATAGCTTCTTCAGGCCTTTTGGTCAATGGGTGGTTTAATATGACTGGTTGTCCTCTCTCAAACATGAGCAGTGATTAACCAGCTAAGATTGGCCTCCCTAACAGGTTACATCAAGGAAAGGGGGAACCACATGCAGTGTAGACAGAAAAGAAAAAAAAATGTGCTCTTGAGTCCTAGCAGCTTTTGCATTCGGCCCAGCTCATCCTGAAGGAAGATTTCTAAAATGAGTAAATAACTAAGTGTCAGCTGGCTTCCCGGGCCTGGCCCTCTCCCTCCTTGTTCCCTGCTCACATCTACTGACTCCCTAACAGAACAGCAACACATCACTGGAGTTTTATTTTCATATCTCTTGATTGAATGCTAAGCATGGGATGGAATATGTATGGATTTTCAGGAAGGGTGGGGATTTCAAAGAACTGGGGTCTACCCAGTTTTTACTATAAATGGGCAGTGCTCAAGGTCACAGCACTGGAGGGTGTGTTAATTAGCATATAATGCGTGGCAAGTCTGGGTGGCAGGCAAATTAATTGCCATCTTGATTCTAGCTGGCTGTAACCATTTTTCTTGTTTGTTTTGAGTCAAGGTCTCACTCTGTCACCTAGGCTGGAATGCTGTGGAAGGATCATTGCTCACCATGGCCTTGACCTTCTCAGCTCA